TCCCACAGGTTATAAAAGTGCGATTTCCTTCACTGAGGCGGCAGATGTGTAATCAGCCAGATGTTTTCGGCCTGAGGCGAAGCTCTTACACCTCACCCAGAGAACACAGATCGTGACCAGAGAAAAGCAAAAGGGTCTCAGACTCATGCACAGCTCTCTGAGCTCTGCAGCAGCTCCGTTCTTCTCTTCTTCAGTCGTTCTGTTGCAGACCTGCTGCTGTGCTGGGATCTTTGTCCTGTTGATGACCCGGTTTGGTCCGAGCTTCAGCTGTGGGACACACGGCCTCACACTGACTCTACAGAGGAGCTCATGGTCCACTCAGATCATAGTCCCTCCTCCACCGTGCTGACGGCTGTATGAGGTGTTTGTTTCCTCCAGACGTGCTGCTGTGCGTGATGGACGAACATCTCCACTGTGGTCTCGTCTGTTCCAGGAGTGTGGAGCGACGCTGTGCTGCTGTTTGTATTTTAGAGAGAAGAGGCTTCCTCCTGCAGACCTTCCAAACAGCCATACTTGCTCACTCTGTTTGTATTTGCACTGCCGTAAACTTTAACATTAAAAATGATAACGATACAGTCAGAGATGAAGTCTTAAGACGTAACCGAGTCTTTAGCAGTGATTGTAAAGAAGACACACATTTCCTCAGGCAGGTTGTTCCACAACCCAGAAGCCCTAACAGCTCGAACCCTTCTCGCGAACATCAGAAGTCGCACACCAGTTGGAACAAGAACAGCAGGTCGAGTACCTTTACAGGGGCCGTGCAGGGCTTCAAAATATAACAATAAGACTGTAAAAATCAATCCAAACAGCAGAACCGTTAGAAGGGCTGTAATGTGCTCACTTTTCTTAGTTCTTTTAAGAAGTTTGGCTGCTGAGTCCGAGGGTTTTTCTATTAAAACACCATTTACCTTTTAAAAAGTCAGCACAGCTAATAAAACAAAGGCGTGGGATCCACGTAATCTGTTCTTCTTCCCATTTCTAGCCTGAACATCAAAAGGAGAAACAATGCCAACAAAGAAAACTCAATGAAAACAGAAAGTGGTCTGAGAGGTCTGATAAAAACATGACTGAAATGATACTCTGCAGCACATCCATGAGATTACAAGCGTTACTGTACGAGCACCAAATTTAATTTAAAAACACTTCATTCATCTGCGCGCCAAAACCACAACAAACCAGATCAATTCTACAAAAAACACGATCAGTTCTGCCCATTAAAGAGTCTGATTTTTATTTAATGACAGAAAAATACGTTTTTAAACATTTTCTGATCTCTTAAAAATCTCTACACTGACCGCTCACACCTTGCAGGTGATCCACTCACCTCAGAGGTCAGCTTCATCCTCCCTGAGCTCCCACACACGCACTGGAAACCAGTTCAGCACAGCACAAACAGTAAATCCCCACCCGAGCAGCTCCATGCTGGGAAAAAACATCACGTGACCCTCGTGACCTCCCAGGCTGGAAGCAAAACAGCAGACAGAGGAATGTCCATCCACTCGGGCTTGAGCCACATTCACAGCTGATGTCTTAGCCTCAGGTTGAAGGGAAAAACAGCATCACCAACAAAACACCGAGATCACCGTCCAAACTCAGGATAATAAACCCCAGTCACACCAAAGTCCTGTGATCTGAAGACACAATGACTCACAGACTCACTTTCCTGAGTGGATGCTTAGTTGTTTCGTCTAAGATGAGCGGTATTAGCTCCACCCCCTCTAAGTCAACCACCTTCTGGTTGGCTGCCCCTCACAAGCTGTAGGATGTTTATGCACACACTGGTATTAGTGAAACTTTGGTCATGTTTAGTATGAATATTCATCACTAGAATAGGAGACATGAAGGAATATAAGGAAAAGTAGGATCATTTCAACACAAAACAAGGAGACAAATCGGGAGCGTTTTATCTTTTTAACTGATTCGCATCTCTAAGGACTTGGATTTTATATTCCAGGTTTCTCCGAAATGCAGCTTTAAACTGGCACACTTGCACTTCACACTTAGCAGAGGTGGCCTGAGGGTTTTCTTCCACTCTTTTAAGTCCTATTATCTCATATGTTCACTCATACTCTCCTTTTCTATTATGATTTTTTTTTACTGTGTTATATTGGGTTATCAACCCATCTGTTTCGAGTAAACACCTAGATGTTCTTCTTCGATTTGCTATTATATATAAACAAATACAATTTAATGTGTATTTTCCTGTTTTGTGGTATAGATATCCATAAAACAAGAAGGTAACTTAAAATGAAACTAAAGTCGTAACTCTTAAATTTGACATTTTGTGAATGGAGTCTGGCGTGGCGCTGGAAGCAGCTAATAAACTGTGTCACGGTACCGTTCACATGACAGGTGCAAGGAGGAGTTTTATGCTGCTCGCTGATAAATTAATATTTGAAGTTAACCATAGTTATCTAACAATTGTTTGTTCGGTTTTGTGCGTCTGTCAGTAAACGGGGACTTTAAGTTTTTAAATTAGCCTCCTAGCTAAAACCAAAAACACAGCCTGTAGCATTAGCGTTTCTGGGGATTTACTGTTGCCTTAGCGTAGTGACACGTTAGCGTTTCCAAACACGGAATTGAGCCAACAGATGTGATGATTTGGAAGAAGACTGATTTTACCTGCTATTAACGAGTCCCTTCGGTCATCCAGGGTTTAGCATGTCAAAGCCAAACAGCCTCAGCAGCAGCAGCCTGCCAGGAGCCGTACGAGCTTATCAACCTTGCGAGACGAATTGCGATAAATAAGCTGCTAAAACGAGCCGATTCGCCGATTATAGCGTCCCGAGTCTGATTCTGTCCAAGTAAAACTTTTACAGAAGAAGAAACGCGTTCATGTACACGAACGTTTCATTTATGGGATCTGATGTGGACAAATTAAAGGGGAGAAGCGCACCGGGTCACACTGCCCTCTACTGGCCAGTGCAGTGTACTACACAAACACACTGGCTCACACCGACCCCTACAGGCCAGCGCGGTGTACTGCACCTCCATCTTCTGTAGCTCTCCGTCACCACCATTACACCCACACTTCCAGGTCTCTGATAGGATCGGAGCTCAAGACCACACATTTCATCAAGCATTATTTTTTATGTCACTACTTTATTTTATCCATTTTGTGCTTGTTCTCAATTTTATTTACTTCCCCAGCGCTGTCTCCATATTTAATTATTTCCGTAATTTCCATGCACTAACCTGCATGTAAGATGCTATACCAAGTTTGCAGGATGTATACATTTTAAATAGCAGTGACAGAAGCAGTTTATGTGAACAAATCTTTTTTTTTTAACTCAAAGTGATGAGAATCAAATCTTTACACAACATTTAAAGAAACAGTGAGCCGAGTTACAGCTTCAAACTTTGCAAAATGAATTTTATTTATGCGTGCACGGGAGTCACTGGGAACAAACGCCAGCCTGAGAAACGTCACCTATGCTTGATTACATGAGATTCTTTGACTTTGCTGTTTTTAGTGCAGGTGGAGGTACAGGAGACTGAAGAACAAGTTTCACGCGGCACTTCGTAAAACCAAGAGAGAGAACTGGAAACAAATGACCTGCTGCAAACACCTTTCACCAGCAGGAGGCAGATTTACCCAGGAAGTTTAATGTAGTAGCTGAAACTTGAAGAAAGAAATGAGAACAGTTTGAGAGCAACTTCAGCATCATCATCCATTCATTGACTCTCTTATTGGACAAAGGATGATGAAGCTGCAGGCAGCAGGAAAAGAGGAAGACCTCAGAAAAGATTCGTGGATGTAGTGAAGGAGGACATGCAGAGGGCGACGCTGGGATAGGAGGAGATGGAGGCCGATGAGTCGCTGTGGTGGGCAAAAGAAGGTGGTGGCGATTCATTCCTCTGCATTTTCTCTTCCCCCTCGTCTATTTTGATCATTTCATTCTGGGAATTGGTGCTGAGTGAGAGGAGTCGCTTTCCAGGTGCTTCAGCTACTGTTTGGTGCCTCATACACGAGAACACCCATCCTTCCTAAACCTCTCCTCCTAGTTTCCTCTCATCTCACCTCAGTTCAGTCTCACGTGTTTTTATTCGCTGAAAGTAAAAAAAGCTGAGTGCAGATCTTCTGGGTGTACAAATGTCTTAGTTTGAAACTTTCCAAAATTAACAAAGCTATTCTTAAATGCTGGAATTTACAGTAAATACTGAGTACTTTTACAGGAAACAGAAAAAAATTAACTGACGGCCACTTTGCAACCCGCCTCCGTCCCAGCTCCTCCTTTTCAGTGTGACTCAAGTATTGCAGCCATTTACACACACAGTCAACCACCATGAGACAGCTCCTTCCATGACAACATGAGCAGATGAAATACACAGAACTATTCCATCAAGGAAGCGAGCGAGGCTAAAAGAAAGAAAGAAAAATAAACCTTTAGGATTGGCCAAATAAACAATCTGGATCTTTCTTTAAAAAGAAGGAAAGCGCCGAGCAGGTCAGCAGCACCAAAGTGTCTGCGAGACAAATAAAGTGGATGATCACAGAGGTATTTCCATGCTTCACGAGATCTAACAAACCGAGAACACGACGAGGAGGCAGAGGTATAACTGTGAAGGTCAACAATCACGCCACGCCTTCACAAATGGAAATGCAAACAGTTTACAGATGAATCATCATCATCATCATCTACAGAGTGGGCCACTGTGGGGAAAATGGGTGTAATTCATAAACAGTAACACAGAACTGGTGTGAAAACCTGAATTAAAGCTCTAAGTTGGCCCTTCAGTCACATCCAGTGTTTGATTCAAATCGACTGCGATGGCAAAAGTTAAACAGTTTCATCTTCCAGCTGCTCGTCTGTGTTCTTCTCCTCAAAGAGAGAGTTTTGAGGAGAAGAACAAGCCCAGGCTGAACCCTATGAAACCAACCCACACTAAATAACAGCAGTAAAGACTCCCTTTAACACGACAAATGAGAACAAGAATCTCACGACCTCAATCTGAAATGGAACAAGCATGGGGCACGAATCTCAGCCGGCACCGTCAGCTCACACTGAATATTTTTAATCATCTGTAAAATTAAGCTTAAAAAGGAACATTTTCATTTCAAACTTAAAACAACTCCCTCTCAAATCTCTAAATCTTAGACTAGTTTAAATTCTCACCGTCAGTTTATACATGTACACTTCTTATTGTAAACTTTATATTTAAGACTTTGCTGTTGTTGCTGCTGCACAATAAAAAGCTCCTATGGAGGCGAAGCGACCAATTACAGACGAGAATTTGAAATAAAGAAAAATCTAAATGCAGTTTTGGCTCAAGTCATTACATTTACCTGACAATATTCCCTGTGACACACACACACACACACACACACACACACACACACACACACACACACACACCAGAGTCTGTTATCAGCATCTCACCGTCATGTGACTGACATCAGGAAGTATTTTGGAGCCCCGTGTTCGTTCACCAATTTAAAGGGACAGTTGATCCACAAATCTCTGCACATGGTGCTGGTTATCCCTCCACTGTTACGTTTTGTCAGCACGAACATCTTTAGTCAGAAAGTTATCTCAATAAAAAACATGAATTTACAGAAAATACCTTTTAAACTGCTCATAAAAACTAAAGTGGTTCAAGCTTTCTTAAATCAGACATTTGATAGAGATCCTAACCAATCATTTCACGGTCTGTTGGTACAGACCAGCAGCAACAGCCTGAAAGCACGACCACTTTGGTTTTTTAATATTTTGGTTCCATGTTTTTTATGTTTGTTGAAGGACGAAAGTTTCAGATCGTCTGCATTTCCTCACAATATGACCTAAAACATCAGGAGGGGCTCTAATGGAGGATGCACGGGTGTCATTTCTTTAGAGGAAGTGTGACAGCTGAAATAGCTCGAGAACACAAACCTTGGTCGGAGGGGGAACACTACGACCGTTTCAGAACAACGGGAAAAAAATCAAAGTGAAAACAGAATCTGAATTTTTTCCTGTCACTGACATGACGGCGAGAAACGCTGCAGCTGGACTCTCGTGTAAGTAAATCTGGAACCCCTACTCTGTGCTGAAGTTAATTTGCTCCCATTGAAAAGGCAGAAGCCTCAAACATTACTGAGGTCAAAGGTCACAGAACAGACACCACGACCCCGAGGATGACGATGGCTGGAGGATGTTATATAAAGTCGTCGCTCTCACTGCTGCTCTCCGAGTTCCTGTACCAGTCATCTTCACCCGTGTTCTCCACAAACCACTGACCTGACAACCAAAAAATAAAACAGGGTAAAAACATTAAATCCTGTTTCTAAGAAAGCTGAAGAGCTGCAACACTGAAGGGAAATAAATAAAAACTCAAAAATCAGTTTAAAAAAAACCCACCAGTACAAAGACAACGCATCAAACATCACAAACGCAGAAATTCTCTGGATGATAGAAAATATCTGTTCGTTTTACATGTTGCATCACAGTAGTGCCGCACACAGCAAGACACCCGCCACCCTGAATGGGACCAGTGGAAGAAGATCGATGGACTTTGCTTCACTCAGTCTGAACCATGCAGAGAAACGCGTTCCTGAACATTTAAGGTCTGCAGCCTGGCCTGTGCACGCGTTTCTCTGCATTATATCAATATTTCCATTTTTATTGTGAAAACCAATAATCTTTTGCATTTTGACACCGACAACGTTTCCATAAACTGTTCGACTTCTCGTCTGTGAGGGCGAAACAGCCGGGAGTCGTGGCAGTGCGGGGGCGGAGCACCGAGGTGAAAGGCAAAGCTTTCCATTTCCAATCCACCAACTTTACAACCATCCCTGCTTTGAACATTGCGTTTCTCCAGACCTCTGATGTCCTCATCCAAAATATTTAGAAAGGTTTTAAATACTGGGCTTACGTGATTTGCAAATCATTCCGTTTTTGTGCACATTATCCAGAATCCCTAACATCAGCGTTTCACGTTCTCAGATTCCATCAATAACAGTCACATTTAGACTTCGTTGGGCTTTCAGGATCTTACCATTTGGCACTCCGTCCTCTTCCTCACCCTCAAAGTGCTCCATGTCATAACTCACAAATATATTCTAGGACAAGAAATATCCTATTAGTATTGTTGCTTTTCATAACAAGGGGCAATTACTGCTTTTACTATATTTCCTTACAGTTAACGTGAAGATAATCCTATATTTCTTCTGTAAATCAAAGAAAACTAAATCAGTACCTTGTTTCTGAGGAGTTTGTCCCAGATTCCCGGCTGCTGCTTGACCAGTTTGAGAACTGGTTCATTGGATTTCATTTCCCAGCAGCAAACGTCAGCTGCGATTTCGTAGCGAAGCTCCAGGTCAGCTCTGTAGAACCGACCGTTCACGCTGCCACTGAACACAATCAGCAAAGAGAGAGCAATCAGCAAAGGACCAGTTCTTCTGTGTAGTCATCTATTGTAGTAAATACAGTAGGACTGTCCCCAGAGGACCGCCCTCTGCTGTGAGGGACAGAGTACGTCTGATTTTATAGGGAGGTGGTGGTGAGAGAAACGGGGCGCGAAGGATTTTACAGAAGACGCAGGACTTGACTGGGAGCCAGAGGAGGTGCAGCGTCCAGGACTGAACGAGGCTTCAGCGGCTGGAGTCTGTTTTAGAGAGGATTTAATGTGTGATGACTGAGAGGGTGGAGTCGTGGATGAATTCCATGTTGTGGACCTCTGAAGTCACAACCAGGGAGGCCAGAGTAGTTACACAAGCAGTTAAAGACGGACTAAGGAGACTGAAAAACTCCTGAACGGTCCCAGAGGAGGATGCTGCTGATGTGTCCCCAGTCTGCAGCAGTGAGGTCATTTGTTGTATTTATGAGGGCCATGTCCGTTTTTTTGAGAATGGAGGAGACGGCAGCTGTTTGAGAACTGCCAGGCTGGGTCCTAAGGATTTACTGATGATGGAAACATGATGACACAGGGGGGGCAAGACCTGACCGAGGCGCTCAGCCTGTGATCCAGAGGACAGGTGGAGCGACTTCAATGACCGGCTAAGTAACTTCAAGATGATGGGATGAGAGTGGGCAGGACTTTGTTGTTTTGTGAGAGTTTAATGCGTTTTCATCTACACATGTAAGCTGCTCTCAGGCGCTTTGTGTAAAACAGAGCCTGATGACAGCTTTCTTTGCACAGAGCTTGGATTGCATGTTCTTTTCTTACTTATCCAAATGTTTTTTTAACCGAGACAACAAGCATATCCTACTGCAAATAAACTACCTGCCAGGTGAGGTGTTTTGGGAATGCTCAACTGAAAGGAGCCCCCGGGGCAGAGCCAGGACATGCTGGAGCGATGTCTGGTGGCCATGAAGACGACAAGCTGGACTTGACTGATTAGACTAATGACGTAGTGAAGGCAGTGCAGACGAATATTTGACCTGCTAGTGTCACGAATAAGCTTTGAATGCCTTTTAAAAGTAGCACCGTGGAAGCTAGTTGCAGAATTATAATTGTAATAATGTGACACTAAACGCTGATATTAAAAGATTTTATTGGGAGGGTGGAATAATTAAATCAAAACAACAGGAGCAGAAACTATTTGCTGAATTACGGGACATAAACTCTGTGATGGACTTTTCCTTGTACCAGCGTTTCAAATGTATCTGCCTAAACATTTTGCACATCTGCTCTAGATTATGGAATTTTAATTAAATGGCTGAGAATTATTCAGAATAGATTACAAAATAACTTCATTAATCCAAAGAACTGATTAACTTTGCGTCAGATACCAAACAGAACTGAGTGTTTTCACAGCTCACGATTAAACTCGTGTAATTCACATGCAGGCTGGTTATACTTTTGTTGCCATGATGCCAGGTCTCTCTTGGAAATGAGATTTTTTACCTGGATAAATAAAGGATTAATAATAAATTATGGTGAACATGTACCCACTCCCACCTGTGTAAAGTGCTCTAGATAACAACCTCCACCGAATGTTGGATGTGATGCCAAATAGGCAAGCGCTCATTGAAGGTCTGAATCTCACAGACCTATAAATGACTCGGTCCGAGCAGAAGTCGCAGCGCTGCTTCTCCGGGTTTGCCAGCTTCACGGTGACAATCGCAGAGTCGGGCGTCTGGAACCAGCGGATCAGAGGGTGGAAACTGAAACAACCAGGAGATGCACGTTAGGACGAAAATCAAAGCTCTGGACACTCAACACCTTTAGGTACTGATGCTGCTGTGGGGAGTTCTTCCAGCTTTTACCTTCGTGATGCATCATCAGAGCCTGTGCTGATGACCTGCTGCCTACTGCTTTGACCAGCACCTTCCTGCACACCTGTATACACGTGCCCACACACACACACACACACACTTAACTACACGCTGAGTAGCCAAAAGATTATTTAAAAAGAAAAAAGTTTTTGCATTTACGTAATTTTTTATGGGGCGTGGCCTCTGAGTGACAGGTGGATGGCAACATGAGCAGCTCTAGCTGCTAGCTTGCTGCCCGGCTTCACCTGAACTGGACCTCTGGACCGTGTTTGTGCTGTTGGAGTTTTGTGATGCAATTATCTGACCAATAATATGGCTGCTGTGAGGTTACTGTACTAACAGACCTGTATTTAAAATTTAGGATGGATTTCATGTATTATTTTCACGTCTCTTATGGGCAAAGGTAACAGCCACGCCCATCTAAAACCTGGAAAAGCTCTGATGTCTTTGTTGTTACTGAAGTTTGGACTGAATAAGCTTTTTACCTTCTTCATGCAGGTTCAGAGCAGCAGTGTAGCTGGTTGATGGGAAAACGTCTCCAGCTCTGGTGCTGCGTGTAGGAGAATGATAAAGATCAAGTCAGACACAACATCTGAAGGATAATAAGGAAAGCATCGAGCAATAAAGAAAAGTGGAAGACCTCGTCCATGGATGGAATTTACAGTGAGGTTTGTGCTCTGAGACTATTTCTGTTGCTTTGTGAGAGTTTAATGCGTTTTCATCTACACATGTAAGCTGCTCTCAGGCGCTTTGTGTAAAACAGAGCCTGATGACAGCTTTCTTTGCACAGAGCTTGGATTGCATGTTCTTTTCTTACTTATCCAGATGTTTTTTAACCGAGACAACAAGCATATCCTACTGCAAATAAACTACCTGCGTTCATTAGGTCTTTATTTCAAGTGTTTCACATTCAGTCCAGCACCTACCGCTGTTTCCACAACTTAGTGTTAAAAACACCGCTGCAGCTCTACAGAAATGTCTTTTTTGGTTGTGTATATACGAGAACGACATTTCCTGTGCTGTGTCGTCTGAAACCTTCTGACAGATGCTTGGTCGAAAATGTGTTTTTTCGTCCTTTGAATCATAAGAATACAAACCTCTCCATCTGCTCAGCTGGCTTCTTATCAGTGCTTCTTTGTCCAAAACCACCCTCACTCTCTGACTGGGAGTTCTGATCACACACTGGGACCAGGTGGTCTGTAGGTGCTGGGACCAGGGACTGGTTTCCTGACCTCATTGGCTCTAGTGGAGAAAGGTCTGGAGCCTTGAGGTTGTTGGCCAGAACTTCTTCCTCAGCTGTAATCCTGACATCCTTCAGAGATGTAATATTATCTCCAAGCCTGAAAAAATCCACAAACACCTGCTACTTTAGTCTTCTTTTAAGAAAATTGGCTGATCAGACCTCGAGTGAATACTTTGGTTGGTTGTCCCTTCACCTGGACATGTGACCTTCATCCTTGCTGCTGCTGTTCTCCTCACACAGCGCCCTCAGCAGGTCCACATGCTCCGGGTTCCTGATTCCCATCCCGGTCTTCAGGATCTCCGCCTGGACGTTGTATTCATTGATGACAGTTTTCATTCCTGGAATCTGGGTGACCCGAACCTTCAAGGAAGAAAACAAAAAGGGAATCCCGACACAGCTGGCAGTGCTGAAAACCAGTCCAGCTCAGGTAGGACACACTTAAAAACTGAGACTTTTTAAGCTTTGTAAACCGTAAATATTAACAGCTTTGTACAGATGGCTGTATGGAGAGATGTTTTAAAATGTAAAACATCACCATTGGATCAACAAAAACTGTGTTTCCCAGGCTGAGAACTACTCTAGCTCGATGCTGAAGTCCGCGGATCTTCTGGCTGATGGCTCTGGTAACCTGCAGGCGCAAAACAAATAGAAAATTAAACACTCTTTTTCCCTTGTCCCGTTCTTAAGATGGAAAGAGAACCTCTGGTGAAGAATATCTATCTACCAGAAGTAAAGTCAGAGAATGCATGAATTATTGCCTCCAGATCTCAGGAACATTTAGCAGTTTAGCTGTTTGTTTTGGTCAAGGCTGCCATCTCCCTTATTTCTGTTTGTTCTTTGTAAAAAACGATCTGGTTGACCTTAAACAGCATGGTGGCATCTTAAATCATGCACATAGACTGTAAAACGTTTGGGGGCTCATCCAGGATATGAACCTCTTGTGCCCAAAGCAAGATTCACGGCTGCCAGTAGCTCCCAGATCAACTTATAATGAACAGAAATGCAACAGCAGCAGAAAGATAACGCCAGTGCTGATGAATGACTGCCTACTCTGCAACCAATCAGCTCTAAGAATAAATCAGAGAGGAGAGCGAGAGAAGTGGTGGAAGCAGCAGAGGAATTAATTGGAATTTAAATCGGAGCTTAATTATAGTTGACACTTTTCGATAGCTTGCTCAGCCCCGTACTTTGTCTCTGATGTAATCCTTTTTAATCCTAACTTAATGAATGGTTGTGTTAGATAACAATGCGGCTGTAGTTGTGAGTGTACATGACTTCAAAGTGAGAAAGGGAAACCTTGGGGTGCCAGCTGGTCTCAGAATCAATTGGTTTGACTCGGCAGACAACGATCTCTACGGCCTGTCCAGGCAGAGAGTGAAACTGCTCCGGCAGCTCGAGGATCTGATAGGATTTCACCTCCTCCTCCTTTCCCATGTCAATGAAGCAAGCAACTACGCTGAAAAACAGCCGGCCGCCTCTGTCGGGCACAGAGAGGAGCTTCACCCTGATAGAAAACAGACAGGAGTCGACTTACAGTGATGAACTCGCAGTCCCAGAGTGTGAGGCTGAAATCATCGCCACCCAACGGTGGTGTTTAGATTTGATTTGTCAGACCTGTGGAAGACATCGTCCTCCTGCACAGCGTACAGTCCTCCTTCCAGCAGCTTCTTGGCTCCAAGCTTCTTCTCTGCGTAGTACGAAGCCATCTCAGAGGCCATTTTCTCAAAGCCCCCGTCCTCCTCCTCGACGATACGGCCGTAGAAGACTGACGCTGTCTTTATGTAGAGCGGTACAACCTCGGATACACAGAGTCACATCCACTGTTTGTGTTGTTTTAAGTACAATCAGTGATCGTTAAACAAATATCAGGGTTTCATCCAAGAACTCCACTACTGAGCCAATGTAATATCCTGACAGCTGCACCATGATTTACAACATCACTCCGAGAACAGAAGCATCATCCTCACTTCTATGACTCCAGATGCCGGCAGTTTGGACTGATCCAGCTGTGAGACGACGCGGTGGCGTTCAGGACAAATGCCATTGTTTCTGCAGGGCAAAGCACACAGAATAACATACAAGTCATTTTCTCTTTACTGTCTGAAACTCATGATGTTATAGACAACGCAAGCAACAATATGGCTAATTAAAAAAAAGGGTAGGTAAAAATCTGATTGGCAAAAGAACCCAGCATGAGAAAGATGGCTGCCAGTAAGACATCCATGTGACAGACAAACTTATCTGCAGACCAAAGAATAAGGCCCAGACCAGTGAACAAGACGGAAACCACAGAGTCGTGTATAATCTGAAGACCTGCACACGCCCAAACTCTTCAGGTAGCTGCAGAGGGGGTGGTCTGTTTTCTGGTCCTCGCGTGCCATTTGCACCCCCTGTGCGAAGGTCAGCAGCTCGGGGGGCAGCAGGGCATTTGCCCTTTCCAGGTAGCGCAGAATCCCAATGACGTGGCGGGCGTTCCTTTCTGAGATCAGCAGCACCGACCTGGTGACGGCTGAGCTGCTCCTCGTTTGATCCTGAGGAGAAAAATTAAAAAGTTATCCAGGACCTCAAACATTGACGGTTAACATCTGCTTATGTTTCTTAATACTGAGCACTTTATTAAGAACAAAATACATATGGCCTCCCTTTGCTCTGAAAGCCATATTTTCCACACAGCTCCACTGTCAGCCCCAGAGAATGGTAGGGTGGTGTTCAGGGTCTTAATCTCCTGAACTCTGCTGCACCAGCTTATTTCATTTACAGTCTGATCACTTTGGAATATGAGTATTTTGGAGGCCTTGCTGACGGCTGGGCTCATTGTCAAGCTCCTCTTGAGGTTCTTGAGGTTTTGCAGAGACGAGATGATCACTAAACTTTTAATTCTGCGTCAGATCAGATCACACCGGCAGAAGAAATATAGACAACCACAGTTTTTCTGTTTGGATGTTTGTGTGAGCATACACTTGTTCTGTAGCTGCAGGACCCTGTGTTACCTGAATAAGCAGGTGTACAGGTGTTCCTAATAAAGTGCATCCGCCACTCGTTCTTACTTGTTTTGAGGAGTTCCTGAAGTTTTCAGCCATGCAGAAGAGTCGGCTGCCAAAGAGCTTAGGAGAGGAGGGGAAACTGTAATGGACGACGCAGGTCGCATCTCTGATATTCAGACCCTTGAGACAATCGTCGGTGGTTACTAGAGGTCAAAGGTCAAACAAGAAAAAGAAATGACAACTGCACGGCTCACGTTCAGGTTCATGTAATCAGGTTAACACCATCAAAACAAATTGAGAACTATTTTCAGTTACCGAGAATAACGTGAGTGCCGGGGCCGATGTCCTTCTTCCACTGCTCGAGCACAAAGTCCATGTCGTGAGTTAACCCCTCGTGGATCTTGAGGCAGAAAACTGACCTGGTGCTCACAGCCTGACGGAAGAAAAGGTCAGGAGGGCAGATTGAAATTAAAATTATTACTTTTAGTTTAATCAATTGCACACAGTTGAGTGCCACAGAGAACTGGAGCTGTTTTTAAAAGGTGAAGATTATAAAACATCAGTGTGTGTGAGTGAAGCAGGTTTATGTGTCTAGTGTTTTGTTTGTAGAGTATATTACTGTATTACTACGGGGCGACCGTGGTTCAGGGGGTTGGGAAGCTCATCTGTAACCGGACGGTCGCCGGTTTGATCCCTGGGCTCTCTGTCCTGGTTGTTGTGTCCTTGGGCAAGACACTTTATCCTACCGACTACTGGTGTTGGCCAGAGGGGCCGATGGCGCGATATGGCGGCCTCGTCAGTCTGCCCCAGGGCAGCTGTGGCTACACCTGTAGCTGCCTCCACCAGTGTGTGAATGTGAGAGTGAATGAATAGTGGCATTGTAAAGTGCTTTGGGTGCCTTGAAAAGTGCCATATAAATCCAATCCATTATTATTATTGAAGCAGTAAGGATTGACTTGTTATTTTACGGCACTGGATATCTGTGTTTCACTGCATACATTTATATGAGATCATTGTGTTTGAGAGACAGGATGAAGTCGATATCTTCCTGTCCTGACTTTATGACAAAATATATACTTGGATGTAAAAAGCAGCCCGTGTGTCACCTTGAACACATCTTCGACCTCCTGAAAGGAGTTTGCTACGATCAGCGTCTTCTGGCCGACGTCGGGGCTGAAGCCAAGCGTTCCCAACAGGACTGAGATCTTACTGATATCCAGAGTCATGAGGATGACCTGCAGGGGGAACAAAACACAAGCCAGTAGAGACTTCCGCTTAATGTACTGTGCGATTATTTCAGTTGCGTTATTCAGCTCCTGATCAAACTGTATGACTGAATCGTAGGTAGGGCTGGGCCGAATCATACTGTTCACGGTAATACCGGTACAATGCTAGACAACGATAAGAAAATGAAATCTCGCGATATAATACGGGTAAAACGCGCAACGCATAAAACGTGCCTTTGTTTTCATACGCACATGGCAGAAAAAGCATGGCGGTAATGGAGAATGAGAAAGGCGGATTGTTGAGTGAAACAGATGAACCAGAACTGGTTTGTAAAAATGCTGCCACTTCAGTGATGTGGAACTGGTTTGGTGTTTGTCCGTCAGATACACACCAAAGCACTTTTTTTTGTAGAACATGCAAGCGGCCGTTATTGCCGTATCTGTCGGACTGAGGTGCTCGTAAATCTGGGAGTAATCTGGGTCCTAAACTCTGTCCACTTCAGGTCTCAAAGTCAAACGAACATCACTGAGAGTTAAAAACTGTCTAAATTCTTCCATCTGCAATAAAACGATCAGCGTTGCTGCTTTACCAGGTGTAACTATGAAGTTTAACATCCAGGCATCCATGAAAACAGAATTTATTACATTTAACGGAGTTAGAAGTTAGCAGGAAGTTAGCTCGCTAGCTTCCACCTAAGCATGATATAGCATGTTCTGACTGAGAGATTTCTGAAAAAATTCAAACGTACAGCTCTGCTATCACTTCCAACATAAATGAAGACAGGAAACTAAACAGCAGTGACGTTTGTAGGGTTACTGAAGTTGGGCTAGCTGCGTATATAATGATGTGCTACGTGATCGCTAGCGACACAGCTATGTTAGCATAACATAAACAGTGAAGCTGGAGGACGAACACTAACACTTTTCCACTTATAAAAGTTAACGTGAAGGTTCCTCATGGTTAGAGACAAATGCAATCGCATGGCAGGATGCTGTAAACGGACCAAACTTCAGTCAGGAGAACAACTGAGATAATCCATCCACAATACGAGGTTAGTCATTAATATACTGCAACAACATGGGAATAGAGCAGCTGCCAGAGAATTCAACATTAATGAATCAATGGTACAGAAGTGGAGGAAGCAAGAAGAATGAGTTTAATAAAGTTTGATTTATCTGACTGCTTTGTTTCGCTTAATGTGCCTTATAATCCCGTGCACCTTATGGTCCGAAAAATACGTACTGCACACTGCAGTTTAATGTTGCAAAGCACCTCTTTTTAACTTCAGTGGATATTATACATGGTTATGCTCAGGATATGTCAGCCCATTTCTACTGGAAATGCCTTTTGGTTAAACTTTCAGCAAGGAATTTGCATTTGCACTGTTAATTTTATATAGCTTTAATGCACATAAAAACAGCTGCTTGTTTAAGTGAAAATAAATTGGATGGGTTTTTTTTGCGCTAGTAAAGTTGTGGAGTTGTATTTTGTCTCAGTCATCAGTTACAGGGAGTGCAGAATTATTAGGCAAATGAGTATTTTGTCCACATCATCCTCTTCATGCATGTTGTCTTACTCCAAGCTGTATAGGCTCGAAAGCCTACTACCAATTAAGCATATTAGGTGATGTGCATCTCTGTAATGAGAAGGGGTGTGGTCTAATGACATCAACACCCTATATCAGGTGTGCATAATTATTAGGCAACATCCTTTCCTTTGGCAAAATGGGTCAAAAGAAGGACTTGACAGGCTCAGAAAAGTCAAAAATAGTGAGATATCTTGCAGAGGGATGCAGCAGTCTCAAAATTGCAAAGCTTCTGAAGCGTGATCATCGAACAATCAAGCGTTTCATTCAAAATAGTCAACAGGGTCGCAAGAAGCGTGTGGAAAAACCAAGGCGCAAAATAACTGCCCATGAACTGAGAAAAGTCAAGCGTGCAGCTGCCAAGATGCCACTTGCCACCAGTTTGGCCATATTTCAGAGCTGCAACATCACTGGAGTGCCCAAAAGCACAAGGTGTGCAATACTCAGAGACATGGCCAAGGTAAGAAAGGCTGAAAGACGACCACCACTGAACAAGACACACAAGCTGAAACGTCAAGACTGGGCCAAGAAATATCTCAAGACTGGTTTTTCTAAGGTTTTATGGACTGATGAAATGAGAGTGAGTCTTGATGGGCCAGATGGATGGGCCCGTGGCTGGATTGGTAAAGGGCAGAGAGCTCCAGTCCCACTCAGACGCCAGCAAGGTGGAGGTGGAGTACTGGTTTGGGCTGGTATCATCAAAGATGAGCTTGTGGGGCCTTTTCGGTTGAGGATGGAGTCAAGCTCAACTCCCAGTCCTACTGCCAGTTTCTGGAAGACACCTTCTTCAAGCAGTGGTACAGGAAGAAGTCTGCATCCTTCAAGAAAAACATGATTTTCATGCAGGACAATGCTCCATCACACGCGTCCAAGTACTCCACAGCGTGGCTGGCAAGAAAGGGTATAAAAGAAGAAAAACTAATGACATGGCCTCCTTGTTCACCTGATCTGAACCCCATTGAGAACCTGTGGTCCATCATCAAATGTGAGATTTACAAGGAGGGAAAACAGTACACCTCTCTGAACAGTGTCTGGGAGGCTGTGGTTGCTGCTGCACGCAATGTTGATGGTGAACAGATCAAAACACTGACAGAATCCATGGATGGCAGGCTTTTGAGTGTCCTTGCAAAGAAAGGTGGCTATATTGGTCGCTGATTTGTTTTTGTTTTTTTGAATGTCAGAAATGTATATTTGTGAATGTGGAGATGTTATATTGGTTTCACTGGTAAAAATAAATAATTGAAATGGGTATATATTTGTTTTTTGTTAAGTTGCCTAATAATTCTGCACAGTAATAGTCACCTGCACACAAGATATCCCCCTAAAATAGCTCAAACTAAAAACAAACTAAAAACTACTTCCAAAAACATTCAGCTTTGATATTAATGAGTTTTTTGGGTTCATTGAGAACATGGTTGTTGTTCAATAATAAAATTATTCCTCAAAAATACAACTTGCCTAATAATTCTGCCTCCCTGTATATCATTATCGCAAATTTTCAAATATATATCGTGATAAATATTTTTGGCCATATCGCCCTGCTCTACTCGCAGGGCTTAGAAGTTCGTAGGTCACGATGCATGTTCTCGCACTATACGGCTCGATGTGACCCGAGTGCTCACACTGTGTCCAGATTTTAGCTTGGTAACATAAAGTGTTACCAAAGCTTACATTATATGGCTAATATACAACACAAAATCAACAATACAACACACACCCACACACGATCCAACTCTTTTCACGGTTATTGTGGTCATGATAATTTTGTCAGGCCACATCGAAAAGGCTCGGACGAGCTTGCCAAAGTTCTACAAGTTGTGGCTCCATCGCTTGTGTCCAGATCACACGCTGCACTGTGGCGTCGCTCCGTCTTTTTCACTGACATTTCTGTGTTTGCGCATCTACAGTGTCAGAGGTTGCGCTAAATCGGCTTGTGGCGCTGCTAAAAATGGTAATTGGCCTGTATTTGTTTAGTGCTTTTACTAGTCCTCCCTAGGAACCCCAAAGCGCTTTACACACCCAGTCATCCACCCATTCACACACTGGTGGAGGCAGCTACAGTTGTAGCCACAGCTGCCCTGGGGCAGACTGTGTGATAGCCTCACGAGGGGTGACCAGGATTTTAAACAGGTTTGATGTTCTTGTAACCTTACTATTGCCTATCAGGAGCTGGTCTTATTACCCCGTCTATACTACACGATGCACAACACGTGATTAAGGCGAAACTCGGGCCGATCCCCAAAACGGTAACACAACTGAAAAATCATCTTAAACTGGGCCAAAAATCACACAGTGTGTGCCCAGCTTCACACTGCACCCAGCTCCTTCCCCTTCACTCTTATTTTATGCAGATACTTAAAAAAAGGTAACTGAGACCACTGTTTAACCCTAATTTGAACAGGAAAGTTTTTACTGACCTGCTGAACGTTTCCATAGAGAGCGGCTTCCTCAGGAACGCTTATGACGATGCTGGGGCATGGCATGTAAGTGGATAACAAACCCTCCATGTGATTTGTCCATCTTTTGGCTACAACAATCAGCTGTGGAGGACAGGAATCACTTTCCTTGTCAGAGGTGACCTGGAAGTGCTGCAAGATGGTCGTCATCTGACAGAAGAAACAAAAATATTTCAGGCTTGGTAAAATCCAACCATCAAACTCTTTGTAACTAGAAACACCGTCTAACTACAAAATAGCAGTTTACTCTCTTAAAAATATTATCAATGGTAAAAATACTTTTTTTGGGTTTAATGTAGCTAAAGAATATCAGGCCTGAAAATCTGTTGTTTCCAGTTTCAAAAGCCACTTTTGTGTCATGCTGTGTTGTACTTTCTACATTTGTGTTGCCACCTGTGTGACTGGCCGTGCAGACATGTTGCACCTGCTCTTGTTAACCTCAGCTCAAGCTGAGCTGTCCCTCTGATTTCTAATCCTGGCCGTTCTGCTCATTCCCATCAATAATGACCACTTCCCGTCACTACAAAATACGACTTCACAAATAAAACAGAAGATCATATTTTTCCTTGAAACAAACACAGCTAACTTTGATGTAACTGCAGCACATTCTAGTTTCAATATTAATTTCACCAGATGGATCGCAGAAGAGTTTCTCTGCTAACTGTCACGTAAAATAGCACTAGATGTAGTATTTTACAGAAACTGCATCAACCTGCACAGAACAGGTGAGCTGGGCAGGAAGGGCCTGGAGAATCTAGCCTATTTTCAAAATAAAAGACTCTTATTCTGAAACACTCTGTTCGAAGGACACACAAACCTGGATCTTTGACAGAGATTCTGTTCATAGCTGTCATGGATAGAACATCCAGGGGTGGAAAGCTTCTGCTTCAGGATCTCACTTCTGGGTTTTACAGATAGCATGGTTCTGTTGGCTTCATCAGCAGGTAGCCTCAGGCTCACACTGGAGCAGTTCACAGCTGCGTGTGAATTAGCACCTCAAAGTCTGAGGCCGGAGCAGGACCATGGCCTCCGGGTCACAGACTAATTATATGCTTTAAGTCTCTTGGGGTTTTGTTCAGGAGTGAGGCAAGAGTGGAGCAGAAGAATCATTAGTGATGTAATCATTGGTTATTTTCCAACCCTCGCTTGTGGTCACAAGCTCTCGGAGACGGTGGATACAAGCAGTGGAAATGCGGTCCTTTTAAGAGTGGCAGGATGAGGACTTCAATGATTCCACATCGAAAGGAACCAGCTGAGGGGGCTACAGAGCCTCTCCAGGATGTCCTGGGAACACTGAGTGACTTCTCTGCCGAGGCTTCTGCCCCCACAATCAGTCTGCACGTCCTCTGTACCCCTGCACATTGTACTCTGCTTATCTTTTGGATTCAGGTTTGTAAGCTTTGCATTTTCTAGAAATAATTCTCTCTAACCCCTCTAATAAGTTTTATTACAGGTTACTATTTAAATTGATCCTATCTGATGCCCGTCAATGAAAACAGAACTAAAAACTGACGCGATGTGTGCACATTTACAGTTGTACATCATAAGTCATCACCTCATCTGGAGCCAGACTGAAGAGCTGGTCAGCTTCGTCCAGCACCAGGTGGCACAGCCGCAGGAAGAGGAAGCAGTGGCAGGACAGCAGACGGACCAGACTGAAAGGAGTGGTCACCAACAGCAGGCCTGGAATTAATCAGATTAGAAGATTCTGAATAGTTACTGACGTAAATCAATCATTTATCGACCACCTAGCAGACTGTGATGATGCTCGTTATGCTTAACTCACAGTTTTTGGGGATCTTGACACTCTTAGCCTCGTCCTTGTTGATGCCCAGCAGCACAGTTGTGGGGTAGAGCTTTTGGGAGACCTTACTCACCCCCAGGAGGTCATATACAGCTTGGACCTTCTCCCAACCGGGACACAGCAGCACAGCTATGGGCTACAAACATACGAATTGATAGTGACAAAAGCAGAATTCATCCATGCTTCCTGCCTCCTGTGTGTGCACTCACCCCTGAGCTGGAGGTGTGGGAAGTGAAGATGGAGTTCAGCATGATGTGGGTAAGGAGTGGGGTAAGGTAGCTGAGCGGCTGGTCTGCGCTGCTGGAGATAACAAGGGTATGGCATCCTCGAGCCACAGCTGGCCAGCTGTAACAGTCAGCTGGAGACAAGGTGCTGTACTGCTTCCGCTGCACCTGGAGACAAACGGTCACTGTGAGAGGAAACCACCAAAAAAACCGCACTTCCTCTAATGCCCACTAGATGCTGTCTCAGTACTACGACTCAAAAAACAGATGCTTCGTGAGCCGTGGTGTCTACGTCCACCTTTTCTACTGACTGTTTGAAACTCAGATGGAGGTTAAAGAGCGGCGAGGGACTGACACAAGAGAAGACTGAGCAGTCACATGACAGCGCAGATGAAACTGATAGTTATCAAATAAGATCAGTAATACAGAAAGGGTTTTATTGCCAAATGTTGCGCAGGTTTACAACATTAGGAAAACATACTGTAAGACAACACTTAGATAAAAATTAAAAGTGCTAAGCATATATATATATGGTTCATGAGTCCAACAGCAAAGGGGAAGAAACTGTTCTCATGGCGAGAGGTTCTGGTGCGAATGGACCGGAGCCTCCTGCCTGAGGGGAGCAGGTCAAACAGACTGTGTCCAGGGTGAGAAGGGTCAGCTGAGATACGAGCTGCACGCCGCAGTGTCCTGGAGGTGTACAGGTCCTGCAGTCAATCACCTTCTCAGCAGAGCGCACAACACGCTGCAGTCTGTTTGTCCCTGATAGTGGCTCCAACGTACCACATGGTGATGGAGGAGGTGAAGATGGATTTGATGACTGCGGTGTAGAATTGCATCATCGTCCGTGTTGGCAGGTTGAGTTTCTTCAGCTGCCTCAGGAAGTGCATCCTCTGCTGGGCATTCAGCAGAGGATGAGTAATTAGCCGAGTAGTTACTTCCTAGCTGCTCTTTTTTATGGCTATAATTTAACTACTTCAGCTCTAGACACTGAAGGATTTCAGTCTGTTGAGACCAAAGGCATGAGTGCGGATTCCTGTCCCTCTAATAACCTTTAGGTAAGCTGACATACACATAAACATCTACTTCCGTCCAGAGTTGCAGTAATTTTTCACCAAGAACTTGAAATTATGATTCAAGAGTCGAACTGTGTGAAGTCTTCCTGGGGCTTCGGTCTGACCTCTGTGGTGTTGGATGCATTTTTTGGACTTCCAGAACCATCTTCCACAGTGTGTATGAATGATGGAAGCACCACCCCAGTTAAACCTGGACTCTTGAGACCATCCAACCACCAAGTGCTTTTGTTACTATAACACAGCAGTTTAGTCTCAGTCCCGAGTCCTCTTCGCGTTGTACACATTTCACCAACATTTGTTATGTCAGATCACGATGATGACCACGTTTCTTCGTCAAAGATGATGGTTCACCTCTGTCCTCCCAGGTTTTAATATGCTGGACTGTTTTTTAAACCCAGTTTCTGTACAGTTTCTCCCACGTTATTTCTTTGCTTGATGAAGGACAATAATTTGATCCCAATTCGAGTAAAAGCTTCTCTTCTCCAGGACCATGTCTTCAAACACGGTAGGTTAAGAAATGAGAAGCTACTTACTGCTTCAGGGTTAAATAACCTGTTGCCAGTTGAAACCTACGAATCACTCTTACCTGTTTGCTTAGTTAAATCCAGGTGCTGATTTTTTTCGGCCAGGCTCTGATGCCTCGCGTCTCAGCATCGCTACGCTCACTGTCTGATCGCTCGGTCCTCATGGACAGCGACAGCGCCTCGTTGAGTTTTAAAATTATGGCGACAGCAGCACTCCCGTGTCCTATAAGGGAAGCTGATGCTCAAGTGCCTTAAACCTGCACTCGTGAGCTTATGGTCTCACATGATAGTTTAAAATCTTACTGAATTTAAAATGTCCTTTATGTCAATCAGAGTCAAGTGTAAGCACACACTCGTCCTCAGATTCAACTTCAAATCAACCCCATGCTCAACGCTTTCATTGAAAAAACAATAAAAAAAGTGCGGCAGTGTGTCCATCTTTTAAATACTCTAGATGAAGGAAATAATCAGTAAATTAACAACAACTTTATTTGTATTTCTGAACCATTTCTGAGAACATTTCAAATTTGAAATTGAATCTGATGCTGTGTTGTTAATAACGAAACCACTTTCACAACATTTGCAATTACACCTGAATGTTCAGGTCACTAAACTCTCGTTTCCTAGCATGTTAAAGATCCTGATGACAAACTCAGGGCGTATTCTTGTTTACCCAGCAGAGGGTGTCTACGATGGCGGGGTCATTCACACTGATCCACGGCTCTGCTGGGAAGGTAGCGTGCACCAGAATCCCACTCCGGCAGGGGTCGAGGGGAGAAACCTGAGACATCCAGGTGAAAGGACAAAGGAGGCTTTAAATAACATCATGAGCAGTGTTTGCATGAGTAACAACCAATAAATCTACAGGCTTTCATTTTCATATTTTCTAAGAGGTAAAATAATTATTTTTTTAATTTTATTTGCACTCTATAACTAAATCAGAAGGTTCTGCGTAAACGTACCACAGCGTCTTGGGCGTCGGGATCGGGGTTCAGAGCCTGTGGATTCAACAACTCCAACAGGCTGCATCACAGACAGAACATGAAGAAACTACTTCAGTCGAACAGTCTGGACACAAATTACTGCCTGACATAGTACTACACTACACAGCCACTTCATTAGGTACACCTTGGTAGTGGCAGGTTGGAGCTGCTTTTGTCTTTAGAGCCGATTTCATTTTACATGGCTCAGATTCAACAAGCTTCTGCAAACACTCCTCAGAGATTTTGGTCCATGTTAACAGGACATCATCACACAGCTGTTGCGTGCTTCACCACGTCTCAAAGATGCTCTTTTGGAGTGAGATTTGGTGAATGTGGAGGCTGCTGAGATGATGCTGAGAGGATGCTACGCTGTGGTCATAAAGGGATGGACACTGTCAGCAACAACACTCGGCTGTGGAGTTACAGGCAGGATGGATCCATGCTGTTATGTTGTTCATGCCAAACTTTGACCCTGAACCATTGCAGCAGATATAAAGATTCATCAGGTCGTACGGTGTTTTTCTATCTTTTATTGTCCACTTCTGGTGAGTCTGTGTAAACAGAAGCCTCCGTTTCTGCTGTGTAGCTCTTCTGCACACCTTGGTTGACTTGCTATTGGCCTTCCTATCAACTCGAAACCGTTCTACCCTTCTCTGACCTTAAACAAGGCATTTTCTCCCCAGAGAACTGCTGCTCACTAATCAGCCAATCACACGGGGCCTGATATTTGTTAACAAGCAGTTAGATACAGGTGTGTCTAATACAGTGGCCGGTGAGTGGATTTTACAAGCAAACTCAAAGAAATGATTAACACACCTTTGATCCAAGCCAGTAATTGTATTTTCATCATCAGGTGCAGTTAACACAATTTTAAAAAATAAATAAAATTGAATTAAATGAAAAACATTTCATGTCTTTACTCAGTGTTTATGTCTTATGGGGATCGAGGAAAGCTCAAAGACAGGAGCAGTATGGTTAAAACACAGTGTGCAGGAGCTTCTATCCTGTAACGTGTTTTTATCAGGTTGACCTGTGTCGTTGCTTCCTGAGAGAGAAAAACTGCAGCTCACCGTGCACAGGCCCAGTCCTTCTCACTGCTCTGGGTCTCCTCTGCTGGAGCCGAGGCGACAGATGTGCTGGAGCTGCTGATTAAAAGAGAAAATCAGAAACACGATTAAAGTGAAGACAAAGATGCTCAATGTGGAGAAAGCACACATTATTATTAATATTAATTAATCTCATCAGATTTTCCCGGGAATGTGGAACAGTCTACTGGAATTCTGTTTAGGTATAAAAGGATAAAGAAGAACTACACAGAGAAGGAGCTGCACAAATGCCCGACATCACAGAAATGCTAATTTTAACTCTGGTAGAATCTAAGAATATATTACGGGTGCAAAGATTCACGGTTTGGTTCGATACTTTGGTGTCACGGTTCGATGTTTTTTTTCGATACAAATAAATGTTCATGCCTTTTTAATTTGTCATTTATTAAAGTTATAAAACTACAGTTTTTAAATTTAATGTTGCTGAAACAAAAGTAATAAAAAAAAATCTGATTGAGGAATCACTCATCTTTGGAAAAGAGAGTTTATTACAGAGAAATGGCTCTTTCCAAAATAAAAGCTATACTATCCGCTTCTTCTGGGCTATATTCTCAGCAGCATAAGGAGAATCTGTGCTAACAGCTGTCTAAATGACTCGGCTAAAGTTAGTAGCATGCTTGTTGTTTTTGTCTTTGCACTAGGATGATGTCGGCGTAAATGTGCAGTCATATTCGTTGTGTTCCCACTAGTGCTGTCAGCGTTAATCTGAAATGACGTTAACGCCACAACACGGCAAATCTCCGTTAACGAGCTACCGCGGATCGCCTGTGCGTGGGGCTGGACGGCCAACACGTCGACAGTGCAGCCTAGGCTCAGTAGTCGAACGCAGATTCACTGAGCGCTCAACACAGACAGCATCGTCAGAAGGAAAGTTGATAAAATAAATTAAAAATTTTGTATTGTTCATACATATGCGTACCGAACCGAAAGCACTGTATCGAACGGTTCAATATTGATACGAGTATCGTTGCACCCCTAATAGAGCAGGGCGATATGGCCAAAAATATTTATCACGATATATATTTGAAAATTTGCGATAACGATATAACTGACGATATAATTGATGCGAGACAAAATACAACTCCACAACATTACTAGCGCAAAAAGACAACCTTCCATTTATTTTCACTTAAACAAGAAGCTGGTTTTTATGTACATTAAAGCTTTATAAAAATGTAACAGTGCAAATGCAAATTCCTTGCTGAAAGTTTAACCAAAAGGCATTTCCAGTAGAAATGGGCTGACATATCCTGAGCATAACCATGTATAATATCCACTGAAGTTAAAAAGAGGTGCTTTGCAACATTAAACTGCAGTGTGCAGTACGTATTTTTCGGACCATAAGGTGCACGGGATTATAAGGCACATTAAGCGAAACAAAGCAGTCAGATAAATCAAACTTTATTAAACTCATTCTTCTTGCTTCCTCCACTTCTGTACCATTGATTCATTAATGTTGAATTCTCTGGCAGCTGCTCTATTCCCATGTTGTTGCAGTATATTAATGACTAACCTCGTATTGTGGATGGATTATCTCAGTTGTTCTCCTGACTGAAGTATTGGTCCTTTTACAGCATCCTGCCATGCGATTGCATTTGTCTCTAACCATGAGGAACCTTCACGTTAACTTTTATAAGTGGAAAAGTGTTAGTGTTCGTCCTCCAGCTTCACTGTTTATGTTATGCTAACATAGCTGTGTCGCTAGCGATCACGTAGCACATCATTATATACCAGCTAGCCCAACTTCAGTAACCCTACAAACGTCACTGCTGTTTAGTTTCCTGTCTTCATTTATGTTGGAAGTGATAGCAGAGCTGTACGTTTGATTTTTTTCAGAAATCTCTCAGTCAGAACATGCTATATCATGCTTAGGTACTCAAACTAGCGAGCTAACTTCCGCTAGCTTCCTGCTAACTTCTAACTCCGTTAAATGTAATAACTTTTGTTTTCATGGATGCCTGGAAGTTAAACTTCATAGTTACACCTGGTAAAGCAGCAATGCTGATCGTTTTATTAAAGATGAAAGAATTTAGACAGTTTTTAACTCTAAGTGATGCTGCAGTGTTGTTTGACCTGAAGCATGCAGAGTTTAGGACCCAGATTACTCCCAGATTTAAGAGCATCTTAGTCCGACAAATACGACAATAACGACGGCCGCTTGCATGTTCTGCAAAAAAATGTGCTTTGTTGTGTATCTGACGGACAAACACCAAACCAGTTCCACATCACTGAAGTTGCACCATTTTTACAAACCAATTCTGGTTCATCTGTTTCACTCAACAATCGGCCATGTGCGTATGAAAACAAAGGCACTGCGCATGCGCGTTTTACTCATTCTATCCGCGATATTTCATTTTCCTATCGTTGCCTAACATTATACCGGTATTACCGTGAACGGTATAATATGGCCCAGCCCTAACCCCTAATATATATGTAAAATGCAGGTCCTGTTGTTGCACTCCAACGTACCCCTAAGAGTACTTAGTATGACCATTTGGTTTGGTTTTTCCTCATGCAGAGTACTCTACCTTGCCTCTTCATCCACCAAAGATTCAGCCTGACAGCTCTGAAGATTCTCAGCTCCTGGTTTCTCACTGCTGGGACAGACTGCAGTCAGTGAGGAGAACCCAACAAATGCAGCAATCAGCTCAGATAAAGACTACTATCTGGGCTAATTTTTGTCTTTTACCTCATCAGAGGCAACACCTCAGCTTCCTGCAGGGAAAACAAACCAAACAAAATTCTGGATTTTAGTTTCAGAAACATCACAGGATGGAACAGAGTTTAGTCACTAACAGCACCAAGTCTGTCCTGAGTCTGACCTCATAGCAGCCGTACCACACAGGCTCAAATGTTCTTACTATGAGCGGGTGGAAATCCAAATCTCAGTCAGGAGTGGGCGCATTATCTAAAAGCTGCTCTTTTTTCTGTACGAGTGCAGCAAACCTGCAGCATGTCAAGCCGACTGGACATTTACAACAACCAGCTGCTGACTGAGATGCTTCCTCCTGCATGAAGTATCAACTCAAACCTTCAGGAGGATTCATGCCTGCACGACATGTGTACATTAATGAGCGCCCCCTGCTGACACCGCTGGAGTACACGGCGGGCTCAGCTGTTAGAACCTAGTTGGTCCAACCTGCACCTGCAATGTTGGAAAATGCACTCACCTGGGGAGCTGCCAGCTCGGAACTGCTGCCCGGCTTCATAAACTGTAGAAACCTGGAGGAGGGGGCGACAGCCCATCACACATGATGATATAAAACATCATGTGCCTGCGATCTGAGACTGTGGCCGACTCACCTGAACAGCTGATGGTTTTTTGTGAGGGCTGCAGCCAGAGACGAGTCTGCGTCGTCTGACGAGCTGCTGAAAAGTGAACAGAGGCCACTTGGTTGCTTTTACCGTATTTTCACGACCATAAGGCGCACTTAAAAGTCTTAGATTTTCTTCAAAAAGT